AAGAAAATAAAAGCACAGTGGCTTAGGTGTTAGCACTTCTGCCTTGATTTGAATCTCAGGACACTATCTGCATGGCGTTTGCTTGGCCTGTGCTTGTGTGGGTTCCCTCTGGGTATTGCGGTTCCCTCCCACACTCCAAAGACATGCTGATAGGTTAACAGTCTCCTGTCTAAAATTTGCTTTAGTATGTGTGTTAGGGACTTTAGATTATAAGCACCTTGAGGGCAGAGACTGATGTGAATGTACAGTATGTAAAGTGCTGCGTAAGTATATAAATACATGTAATAAATAAAAGAATCAAGTACGTGTCTAGCACAAATGCAGCTGCCTTTAATTATATAAATCCTGGATGGACACCCAAGTATGAGAGTTTTTCTACTTCTGTAACAGATTTAAACTACATAGATTCTCCCTTAAAACACAGGCACAATTAAGAAGTGATCAGGGGCAAGTTTTATATTGGCAGAGTGCTACCTGCACTAAGGAAATTATTAAACTAGCTGCAATCTTACAGTAAATCATAAAATGTATCAGTTAGTTTCTTTTATGCTACTTTGCTGCGCAAATGACTTTATAAATCTTTCCCTTGCTACTCAAGTGCCCACAGACCAGGCAAATTTGTTTAAATAAATCTGACTGCCTAACCCCATAGGCAGTGTGCAAAATCCAGCTGTTTGGCAATACAATTAAATATATGTCTACAGTGAGTGGACACCTGAACATAAATGATTAAGGGTATTCTTTGTGTCCCATACATAGCACAATTATATATAGCTCTGGTGTAAAAAAAGTAATCTGAATTAGAATCACTATGAATGAAGTTGGTTACCATCTACTGACAGAACACTTAACAGATTATGAATAATTATTGTGAAAAGGTAATGGGTTATAATTGTGTTTTTTTCCTGTGTTTTGTGTACTAGGGGAAAGAAAAACAACCGTGTCTTGTACAAAAATTATGAACAAAAATATAACTATCGTGGACAACGCCTACTGTAAAGACATGACGAAGCCAGAACCCCAAATTAGAAAGTGCAATGAACAGCCTTGTCAAACAAGGTAAATATAATACATTTATGTTACACCTTTTTATCATACTGATTCCACAATTTGTTGAACTAGAACTTCTAATGTGGAGTAATAATAAATCCACTAATTTTCTCAATCAGCATTATTTTTAGCTCACAATTAATTCAAATCTGTATTTGTTTCCTGCTGGTTTGTCTTCTACATGGTTGAACACAAGCAAAAGCAGTTCAATACAAACATCCAGTCCGGGCACTGGTTTCAGCAAGTGATCTTTCCTTTCCCAATAATCGTCAGTCACACAGAGGGCTGCATCATAAAAAGGGACCAGGGAACCTTAAAAGATCACGAAGATAGAAGCACAGAACACCCAAAATGTTTGAATGACTGTTTAATAAACCAATATATAAAAGCAGTACTGTACTCATAAAAGTAGTCAAATATGAGCTGGAAGACTAGTGATATAGAAAAGTGATAGGGGCATTTGCTCCTCCCTTTTTTGGGGGAAGGGAAATTATTATTTGGTTTAGACTAGGGCAACTATATTGCCAGATGAAATTTGTGGAAGTTTGTTGTAAGTTCCTATGAAATGTCTTGGGGACAGCTATGGGAATGGTCCAGAATAAGTTTAAAAACTGTTATTTCTGCCTAAGAGAATGTGTTTACAATCATAGTTTTGGAGCTTTGTTAAAGGGTTCTGCAATAGATGCTGGTAGTTTAGTGACAACAGTAGTGAGATGTCAGAGGGTATTTGTATGCCCAAGTTTTTCAAGGAGCGGTAACAGAAATTAAAGGGAACGTTGTTTTGGAGAATCATTTCCTGATGGGAGGTTAAGGATACATTTAGGAGTTTGAATTTAGAGTCATTGACTTAGTTTCTTAGAGTGCTGAATAGTTGAAATTTACTGATTTTGAAAGGCATTGTGATATGTGGTTGTGTGACATATTGCATTCGTCATCCATGAACAAAGATAGCTTTGTATTGATAAGACCTGACTTGATTCCAAAAATATCTGGATTTGCAGCAGGGCAAAAGCTACATGCTTCATTGAAAATACATAGGGTGGAGGGAAACTGGACATCCCAGGAGACAGGGAAAGGCTTCCCTGAAGATATGAGTCTTAAGGGATTGCCTAAAGGCAGTCAGAGTGGGAGATAGATGGACAGGTTGTGGTAAAGAGTTCCAGAGGATGGGAGTGACTCTAGTGAAGTCCTGAAGGCAAGCATGGGAGAAGTTGACGAGGGAGCTGGAAAGCAGAACGTCTTTTGAAGAGCAGAGGGGATGGTTAGGGTGATTCTCTGAGACAAGGTTTGAGATATAGCCAGGGGCAGAGTTGTGGATGGCTTTGTTGAAGAAACGGGAATTTCCATTGAAGAAACGTGTATTTCAGAAATAATCAGCATACACTATCAAAGGAATTTTTTCATCTACAGACAAAAGATATATTTTAGGATGTTATCCCTAGCTTCTCAACCCTGCACAAACCTTACTTAATCCTGATAGATGATTTGGGGGAGAAAAGAGTATACAGTCATTTGACTGTAATTGTGGCACATAAATGATCTTTTTCAGGTTTAGGAAGGAGGAAAATATGATCCTCCAGTGCTTGGAAAACACGGTTCTTGGGAGATACAGTTAAATACTTTTGTTACAAAAGGGGTTAGGAACTCTTTGTAAGTTTTGTAAGATTTCAGTTTAAACACACCCAGTCCAGGGATCTTTCGGCATATGGTGCATTTGATTGGGAATCATAACTCCTCCTCCAAAAACTGAGCATCACGAGAAGACTGTATTTCATCAGGAAAACTATGATTTTGAATCAAAAATAGTTGATATTCCTGCTACAGGATGATCAATGTAACTTAGTTAGCAACAGAGAACATAAATGTAAACCACACAGGAACAGCAAAACCAGAACACGCCTTGTTATATATTAATTACATCATCACAGAAGATGCTGTCTATCTGAAATGTAGGACATAGATTAAGCGATTGAGCTCTGTAACCAACAGACATTTTACAAACAAAGGATACAGAAATATGTAAAGAAAATGAAAATTATTTTTAAACATGTGTTACATTTAGTTCTGACCAGAATACATAAATAAAGTACATATATACAAAAGCACTATACATTTCCTTTAAACAGATCATATTATGGGAGCAGGACAATCTGTATCTACATGCAGAATGATGGATAGATGAAACACTGATACAGTAGACCTCCCACTAGGCTTTTGATTTACCCAGGCTTTTAATAAAAATTCAGGCACTAAGGAAAAATCAAGGATCAATTATATAAAAAAAAATTCTAGAACTATGGACAACATAAAAAACGTAATATGTTATCTGGGTTGCCAATAGAATTACCAGTCTCCCTTTTACTTTGTCCCTTTAATGTCATAAAAAATATCTGGTGTCATAAAAAATATCTGGCAGAAAAACTGCCCCTAATGTATTTCCTGTGAAAGGGTGATAGCACATTTTCTGGTTTGTAAGGCACTACAGCACAGTCTTTGTTGTGCACTGTGCCAGCTAGAACTTCAACAGAATGTGATGGCGTAACAAAAGAGTCATCCATAGTACCAGGATGAAGGGCAAATCCCTCAGTATTGTTAGTATTCAGGGGGTTGGTTTATCAACTGCTTTACTCCTTGTATGAGACACGGTATGAGACATGGTAAGGATGAGGCAAGACTGAAGGGAAACCAAGCTATTTTTCATTGTCAGTCACCTTTGTAAATGTCTTTAACACAAACTTAACCTCTTGCCGTCCGCCCGTAGTAAAAAAAACGGACGGACGGCACTGCAGCATCTGCGGGTTGCCGTCTCCAGACGGCAATTTCTTTATGCTCGCGCGCGCCCCCTAGCGGGCACGCACGGGCAGAAAAGACCCGCTAAATGCACACACCCGTTACCGGGTGTTTCACATATAGGCGATCGGCGGGTCCATAGCCCGCTGATCGCCTATATGTGCTCGTTCGCG